TATGTGACCACGACAGCGCGCCCGGACCCGCCTTTGGCCCGCCGGTGTTGTGTGTAGCCGCCTATAAGTGTCGCCTGGTTCGCGGCGGTCCGCCCTGTAGTGTAGTCTCGTACCCGGGGAATGTGCTGTGATGTGGCTGGGGACTCGGTGCATGCCTCTTATAGCGGGGATCTGGTGGCTTTACTGGTACCTTTGGGAGTAGGTGAGTTGGGTGGTACTGGATGAAGCGTTAAACCACGGCGATGGTACACTTGGTTGTTGTGATGTTACGTGTCATCATTGCTGTATAAAGTGCTAGCAGTAAGACTCTAAACGCATGGCTTGATGTTAGCGTCTCTTATGGTAAAGAGTCGTCACCATGAGCGGAGCTCGTTCGTACTTTGCTCACAACTCATTCGCAGGGTCACGATGTGGTCGATCCGGCCGGCTGGCGGCCTGGAGGGAGTGTGCGGCTGCCACTCCAGCAGTGGCCGTCCCCGTGCGGCCCGTTGTCGGCCGAGACAGTGTGACACCGGTCTCCTAATCCCGGCGGATGGGCGCGCCGCTGCCGCATGCCCGACATTCCGGTGCCAAAAGCTTTTTGCCGTGGCCGCGCTCTGGTTACCGCTGCGCTGATCCGTGTACTGTTGACATTGGCTCAGTACACAGCGCGCACACACACATGGAGGCTCTGTGGCGGCCGGTGGCTGGACGGGTATGTGTGTAAGGTGATACCGCCAGCGCGGTGTTGTGACGGCTCGGGTTCCGACCGAGTTGTTTGTTGTCCGTCTGCCCGCAACCACATCCGGTGCACGGCCCGCACAGTGCACAGCGCCAAGGCTGGCGCTGAATCCACAGTCACTCGTGCGGGTCGGTGGGGCAGCTCTGTGGGACGGAAAAGGGGCATTCACTTCGTCTTCTTCGTTTTTATCTCTAAATGACCCCAATCGCATGTTTGGCTCATCGACATAAAACACTGTCGCGGGCTGGGATTTGCGCTGTCAGCTGGACGGGCGGACAGTCAGCTGAAATCGCCGCGGTTTTTGTGCGGTCGGGCCGTCCCGTTTGGCTGGCCACGACCGAGCCGCGTCTCTGTCGGTGCATGGCCGCGGCGGTTCGGACCGAGTAAAAACGTACCCGCCGGCGGGGGCGGCGCGGCACGGCGAGCAGCGGCGCCGTGTACCGTGTCGGCCGTGCGCCGCTCACCCCCGGCCCGCGGCGGCGCTGTGGGACCTCCGACCTGGACCGGCGCGGCCGGGCCGTGTCGCCCGCCGCCCGGCCCAATCACGGACCCGGTGAGCGCTGTCACACAGCCGGCGGCCGGCGGGCTCCAATCACCCCGCGCTGTTTGACGGGGTGATGAGACCGGCTGACGTCAGGCCCTGACCCGGTGCCTGTACCGAGGCGCTGTCCGTACGGCCTGCCCGGAGACAGCGCTATCTCTGGGAATTTGGCGGATCAGACGGTGCCGAAACCGCGGGCGCCATTGTGTGCGGGTGCGTCTGTTCACTGTTAACCGCACCAGTGTGGTGGGTGCTGTCGAGCTGGCACTCCCCTCCCCTCCCCCTTCCATTCATTGATTCTCCATCCGTTGACCTCGTGTTCTCTCGCCACTGCACCGCCGCACCGTTACCCGACTGCCGTGAGTCGTTACCCGAGCACGACGAGTGCGACTGCCGCAGCCCCGCCCACCCTGCACGCTCGTGAGCCGCCCGCCTTGTGCGGGTCGGTGCTGCGCCGGGCGGCACTCATTGTGTGCGGGCGGGCGGCCGGAACTGGCGGGCGGGCGGGGCAGCGCGCAGGGGAGGCTCTTCACGCCGCGGAGAGGGCTCCGCCACGCGGTCACGGCTGCTCAGTGCGGACGGGTCGTGTCTGGCGACTTCCGCTGCCGCTGCTGGCGTGAAATGAATGGCGCCTGATGGGTCTCTGTTCTGTGGGTCTGCGGGCTGAGAGTCCCCTGTGTTGCGTATCTGGTCTGACAGTCACGTATGGTGTTTATGGTCTGCACTGACGGCTACCTGGCATAACCCTGGCCTCTGGACTGACGTCACCCGTCGTAAACCTGGCCTCTGGATTGTTGTCTCGCCGTTATTCGCTCGCCATGCCTCTAGTCTCTCTGATTCTGATTCTGTCCATCTCTCCCAGGCGCCAGCCTATGTAGTGTGTACTGTATACCTACTGCTCAGTCTGTATTCCGTGAAGCAGCGGTACACAGTCGCCGTACGGGACGCCGTTTTTCCGAGACTGTAGCGCCTTCGCGGTCTGTCAGTGGCACGGCGGCGCAGACCGCTGTCGTGGCCGGCCGGTCCGACGCTCTGTCCGAGCGCGTGGCTCTGGCAGGAGAGCTGTCTCCTCCCCTCGGCCGTCTGTCGCGGCCCAGTGCCGGTTGCGGGTCAGGGCGTCTGCAGAGCGAGGTAACGGCGCGGCCCGTACAGACAGCCGCAGGGAGACCGGCAGACCGGCCGGCGGGCTGTCCGTGCAGGTGCCGGCGCGCTGGCGGGCCGCCAGCCGCCCCCCGCCC